AAGTGTTGGGGTTTTTTTTTTTTTTTTTTTTTTTTTAAAGTTAGCGACAGGGTCTCACTCTGTCACCTAGGTTGGAGTGCCATGGCACAGTCATGGCTTACTGTAGCCTCAAACCTTTGGGCTCAAGTGATCCTGCTGCCTTAGCCTCTCAAATAGCTGGGACCGCAGGTATGCAGCATCATACCCAGCTAATTAAAAAATTTTTTTTAGAGATGGAGTCTTGCTGTGTTGCCTAGCCTGGTCTCGGACTCCTGGCCTCAAGTAGGCCTCCTCCTCTGGCCACTGGAAATGCTGGGATGATAGGCATGAGCCACTGTACCTGGCTTATTACCCTCTATTGAGTGTATTATGTATGCATGATTAGAACATTCATTCATACAACAGATATTTATGAAATGTATTACTTTCTGCCGGGAATTGTTTGGGTTGCTGAGGATAAAGAACAGAACAAAGTTCCTGCCCACACAGCACTTACATACTTGTCGGGGAGACAGCAAAACATAGTTTGTTGCCTGTGGGGGAGGGGTTGTGTGTGTGTGTGTGCGCGTGTACATATGTATATATATATATATCACAATTCGTTGATTCTAAGACACATTTTCTCCATATTTTAATATCTCTGAAATTGAGTTGCCTGTTAGAATTGATGGAGTGTTTTTTGTTGTTGTTTGAGACAAGATTTTACTCTGTCACCCAGGCTGGAATGCTGTGGCACAAGCACGGCTCACTGCAGTCTCAACTTCCTGGGCTCAAATGATTCTCCTGCCTCAGTCTCCCATAGCCGGGACCACAGGTGTGCTACCTTGCCTGGCTGTTTTTAAAAATGTTTTTTGTAGAGATGGGATCTCTCTGCCTTGCCCAGGCAGACACTGAACTCCTGGTCTCAAGTGACCCTCCTACCTCTGCCTCCCAAAGTCTTAGGATTACAGGAGTGAGCCACTGTGTCTGGCTTGATGGAGTATTTTCATTTAAATTGGTACTTTCATTTTCCTTCATGGTTCATAAAGTCGTGTCACATCTCACAGTCGTTGGCTGCTTTGATTGGGTGACTTGTGATTGGTCAGGTGGTCAGAACTGTGCAGAGGAAGCAGAGGCAGGAGAGAGGGCATGCTGAGGGTGAGGGTGCCTTGCTGTTTTGTAGCGTGACTAGGAAGGACTCCGATCAGGTGATGTCAACACAGACACCTGAAGGACATCTAGGAGTGAACCATGCAAATATTCTTAGAGTCTTTCTATGAAAGGGCAAAGGCTCCAAGGGGGCTTCTTTGGTCACACTGACCAAAGAAGAGGGAAGGGGAGGGCAGGGGGAGCAGTAGGAGTCCAGGCCCGGTGGCCCTCATGGGGCCTGAGTAGGGGATGGGAAACCCTTGTAAGTTTTGTGTAGAAAAGTGACATCTGATTTATGATTTTAAAGCGTAATTCTGCTGGCTGTGTAGAAAAGAGCTGAAGAAGGGGAGAAGTAAGAAGGTGGGAGGCAGTCACACTTCATGGTGAAAGGCGATGGTGCAGATGGCAGCCCTGTAGGCTGTGGGCATCTGGTGCTGGGCATGGTTTTGAACAGATGTGGTTGGAGGAGTTGCTGGCAGCTCTCAGGCCCCATGAGGCAAGTAGTTAGAACAAAAGGAAAAGGAGTCAAGGGCTATTGCAATGTCTGTGGCCTGAACAAATGAGACAATGGAGAAGATTATAGGAGGAGGAAAGTCAGAAGTGAGGCAGGACGCGTTAGTGTTGAAACTTCTGGGAGCATCCGATTGAAGGTGTGGGGTGGGGTCAGGTGTGGGGACTGGAAAGAGGGCCAGGTTGGAGGCAGGCATGTGAGTCTTCAGCATAGATGGCGTTGCTGTCCGATAATGAGTGTACTCCCCTCTGTAATGGACAAAGATGAGGGCTGAACCCTAGACACGCCAGGGCTTTGAGACATCAGGGGACACTGGGAGGAGCTGTCAGTGAGGCAGGTAAGGAACAGAGAAAGGCTGTCCCAGATTCACATAAGGAGAGTGACTTCTGAAGGAGCAGGGCTGTGTCAGTGCTGCCGCAGGTTGAGTTGGAAGTGTGGCCATAGCTGACCCCTGATGTGGTGACATGGATGTTTGGGGTGAGAGCCCTACTGCAGTAGGCTCAGGGGAAGGAGGAAATGGAGAAATCAAGCGTGGGGTGGGGGCTCTTTGAATGTGGCTGTGGAGGAGGAGTGTTATGGGATAGTAATTGGTGGGACATGGGGCCCATGACGTGCATTTTTCAGGTAGTTGGGAACTGGTGCACTTCATGCTGACGGGAGTGGTGGGCTTGGAGGGCAAGGACTTAAGGATGGAGGAGAGGGGTGGGTGCTCAAGTGCTGTCCTTGCATGTGTGAGAGGGAAAGGGAGCTCACACACAAGTAGTAGTGTTGACCTTAAGTCAGATCAAGGGCAGTTTAACCCAGGTAACAAGCCTGGCAGAGGATGGGTGGAGATACAAGCTGGCAGGAGATGTGGGAGGCAGTGGATGTCCTTGCCTGATTTCTTCTGTTTTCTCGTTGAAACAAGAAGCAAGGTCACCAGTGGGGAGGGAGGAGGGAGTGCTGGGTCTGTAAGAAGACACGAGAAGTGGAAGGTCCTGTAGGGAGTGGGAAGGGTAGGAGTTGCTGGCAGCTCTCAGGCCCCATTAGGCAAGTAGCTCTGAATTTAAAGAACTCAGCTGGCTGGGCGCGGTGGCTCATGCCTGTAATCCCAGCACTTTGGGAGGCCAAGGCCAGCGGATCACCTGAGGTCAGGAGATGGAGACCATCCTGGCTAACACGATGAAACCCCATCTCTACTAAAAATACAAAAAGTTAGCCGGGCATGGTGGTGGGCGCCTGTAGTCCCAGCTGCTCGAGAGGCTGAGGCAGGAGAATGGAGTGAACCCAGGAGGTGGAGCTTGCAGTGAGCCGAGATGGTGCCACTGCACTCCAGCCCTAAGGCCGACAGCGACCTGATTCTGTACCTTAAAAAAAAAAACAAAAAAGGGCCCCGGGCGCGGTGGCTCAAGGGCCTGTAACCCAGCACTCTTGGGAGGCCGAGACGGGTGGATGCACCCAGAGGTCAGAAGATCGAGAACCGCATCCTGGCGAACACGGTGAAACCCCCGTCTCTAACTGAAAAAATCACAAAAAACTAGCCGGGCCGAGTGGCCGGGCGGCCTGTAATCCCAGCTAGCTCCGTGGGGCTGAGGCCAGGAGAATGGCGTGAAGCGCGCGCGGAGGCGGAGCCTTCGCAGTGAGCTGAGATCCGGCCACCTGCACCCTCCCAGCCCGGCTACAGAAGCCGAGACCTCCGCCCCTCAAAAAAAAAAAAAAAACAACAACAAAAAATCAAAACTCCAGCCAAGAGTGCAGGCGCAAATCAGGACACAGCCTCATTTTAACCAAAGCTTGGACTTTCCCATCCGAGTATGATGGAGGGAGAAAAGGGCAGGGGAGTCTGGATTCTGTGTAGGAGGGTGATTCTCATGTAATTTACAGTGAACAGAGTGCCCCAGACCATGGGGTTTAAGCTAGGTACAGAGGGGAGAAGAGGGCATGAAGGAAGGAATGAGGAACAGGGAAGAGGTGGCAGGGCTGATACATTTATACGTTTGTTTAAAATACCTGTCTTGGTTTCTTAATGGAGTCCAAGCATATCCCCACCCCTCTGCAACTCATCCAGGATTCACTAACGGTCAGATTTGTGTTGTGCACCACAGGCCAGTCTGTCCTGGTGTTGTATGTTAAAAGTGGAGCCACAAAGAAGCCATCTTACATGGGACGGGCTTGGGTGTGAGGCCAGAGCTGTGGGTAGCAGCACTTTGGGTCAGAAGTGAGGAGCAGAGGAAACACTTTCCACCTCTTGGATATGAATTTTATCTGACCCTGATTCAGGGGATCCCCATCTGTTAAGTAAGGGGAAAGATGATTTTGTTGTCTTTTGTTTCAGATTCTAACGTAGGAACTGGTGAGAAGAAGGTGGTTGAAGCTGGATTTCTGAGGATGAAAACTCACGTAGGATAATGTCAGATAAACTCACAGTGATGGAGCTCCCTTCTCCCGAGTCTGAGGAAGTCCATGAGCCCAGATTAGGGGAGCTTTTGGGAAATCCAGAAGGTCAGAGCCTGGGGAGTTCCCCCTGTCAGGACAGGGGCTGCAAGCAGGTGACAGTGACCCATTGGAAGATCCAAACAGGAGAGACAGCTCAAGTGTGTGCCAAGTCAGGAAGAAACCCTATTCTGAACTCAGACCTTCTTCTGCTTCAGAGAGAGCTCATAGAGGGGGATGCCAATCCTTGCGATATCTGTGGCAAAACCTTCACGTTTAATTCCGACCTAGTTAGGCATCGGATTTCGCATGCTGGGGAGAAACCTTACAGGTGCGATCAGTGTGGGAAAGGCTTTGGCCAGAGCTCACACCTTATGGAGCATCAGAGAATTCACACTGGAGAGAGACTCTACGTCTGTAACGTGTGTGGGAAAGACTTCATTCACTATGCAGGTCTCATTGAGCATCAGCACGTTCATTCAGGAGACAAGCCCTTCAAATGTGCACAGTGTGGGAAGGCGTTTGGTCACAGTTCAGACCTGATTAGGCACCAGAGAGTTCACACCAGAGAGAGACCTTTCGAATGCAAAGAGTGTGGAAAAGGCTTCAGTCAGAGCTCCTTACTTATTCGTCATCAGAGGATTCACACGGGAGAAAGGCCCTATGAGTGCAATGAATGTGGGAAATCCTTCATAAGGAGCTCGAGCCTCATTCGCCACTATCAGATCCACACAGAAGTGAAACAGTATGAATGCAAAGAATGTGGGAAGGCATTCCGTCATCGCTCAGACCTTATCGAGCACCAGAGGATCCACACCGGAGAGAGACCCTTTGAATGCAATGAGTGCGGGAAAGCCTTTATTCGGAGCTCGAAGCTCATTCAGCATCAGAGGATCCATACTGGGGAGAGGCCTTACGTGTGCAACGAGTGTGGGAAGCGCTTCAGCCAGACGTCAAACTTCACCCAGCATCAGAGAATTCACACTGGAGAGAAACTCTATGAATGTAACGAGTGTGGGAAAGCTTTCTTTCTGAGTTCATACCTTATTCGACACCAGAAGATCCACACTGGAGAGAGAGTGTATGAATGTAAGGAATGCGGGAAAGCGTTTCTCCAGAAAGCCCATCTCACTGAGCACCAGAAGATCCACTCTGGGGACAGGCCCTTTGAATGTAAAGACTGTGGGAAAGCCTTCATCCAGAGCTCCAAGCTGCTTCTGCACCAGATCATTCACACTGGAGAAAAGCCCTATGCCTGCAGTTATTGTGGGAAAGGCTTTATTCAGAGGTCAAACTTCCTTCAGCACCAGAAGATTCATACTGAAGAGAAGCTCTATGAATGTAGTCAGTATGGGAGAGATTTTAACTCAACTACAAACTTTAAAAATAATCAAAGTGTTCACCAAGAGGGACTCTCCTTGAGTAAGGCCCCCATACATTTGGGCGAGAGGTCTGTCGATCAGGGGCAACACATAGATAACTTATAAAATAATTATTCTCCCGCCCAATGAGTGATGTTTGGAAATGCGTGGAATTAGGATTCATGTGGTTTCTAAGATTTGGACATGTCAGAATTTTGTGAATCATGGATGGAGCTGCTTTTGGAGTGGATGCCACCTGCCACTGTGCAGCACTAGCAGGCTCACCCTTCTCCTCAGCTGTGAGCACTGTCCTCGGGAGAGTCACAGGACTTGACACCTGACTCTGAGCTGGAACAGTAGGGGCAGGGAGGAGACAGGTCTCAAGAAAAGGTTTTTTTAAAATTTTATCCACAGTTACAGTCCATCCTTGAGTTAAATCCTTTTTAGAGCAGAACTGTGTATCTAATCTTATTACTTAGGAGAATGTTACCTAGGAAATTTTGATCTATGAAGTTGAAGAAAGATAACTTGTATACAAACCCCCGAGCCATTTCCCTGTTGTCTGGAGGAGGAACTCCAGGTCCCCCATCCTGGGCCCTAAGGCCTCCTGTGTCCTGGAGCCTCGCCTCCCACTGCCTGACTTCCTGCCACACAGTTAATGCTGCAGCAACACCAACTGCTTCATCTTCCCTGTGCTCCACGTGGCTTCCTACCTCTCTCGCCTTTGTTCTTGTTAAAGGGTCTCCTCAGCTAATTAACTCCGAATCATGGTTCAAGACATGCCTCACGCATCATGTCAAGGGATGTTTCCCTCAGGCTTAGTTGGCAGCGCGTTCCACACTTCTGTGGCTCAGTGATTACTGCTATTACTGTATTTACTTGCATATGTCAGAATGACTTGGTAGACTATCTCTGCTGTTATACTCTGAGTTCCTATGGACAGTGATCATATCTGATTGATTTCCATGTGTCCACTGTCTGTCACAAGGCAATAAAAAATACACCCCTAAATCTATGTGTGATTGGCATCTGTCTTGCTTTGTCCTTTCTATACTGCCATTCTAAAAATTTTCAGCTGTTAGCTGTTTTTTTAATTGTTTGTTCATTTTGTATCAGTATAATCTATGACTCTGTTAGAAGTATCTTCTCAGCCCTGCTACTGTCTGCTGCTCCTACTTAACTCAGAAGTTGCAGGCTATTGCAATAGCCTGTGCATATCCACGCCCTCCTGTGTGCCGCCTTACAGCTCATGCAGAACTGTCCACTTGATCTGGAGGGCATTGACACCTGACTCAGCTGGAACAGTGGGGACAGGAGGAGGCAGGTCTCAAGAGAAGGCCTTCACTCACTTGTCTGTATCTTTCTGTCTCACTGGAAAGGCACAGTCTCAATGCACTACATAGCTCTTCTGTTTTAGCAGTTCCAAGGTTGAACTGAGCTCTTGTCATTTTCCATGCTTTCTGGCTCATTTTCTCATTTACTTAAAAATGTATTGATATCTATAAGGAATAGTCCTAAATGTTGGGAAAACAGATGAGCAACCCACTACCCCGAAGTCCTCCACAGTGTAGTGGGGAAGACAGATCACAGTACGATGAGTCAAGTGTGTGCTCTCAGTTGTGAAGGAGCACAGGTGAGGGGGTGACTGATGTGGCACAGAGCTGGGAAGGCACAGAAGAGTGACATTTCAGCTGGGCCAGAGAGATCAGTAGAGATCAGCTAAAGAAAATAGGATCGGAGAGGGAATCCCCGCAGAAACATGGAGTCATGACAGATGGCTGTTTGGCTAGGACTGTTCAAAAGCAGGCGAGGTAAATAGTGGACAGCCACGTCGCAAAACTGTTAGTCTTTGCCTCTGAATTTCATCTGAACATGAACTCCAAAATCCAGTTTTGTAACCATATAGTTTTTCTTTTTCTCATGAGGCCATATTTTGAATTCTTAAATAACTACCAATCCTGAAAGCCTCGGGACAAGTAATTTAAAAAGATGTACATTTTCTGGAAAATGAACACGACTAGAGATGTTTCACGTGTAGATTTTTCCAGACCATTTGAATCAATGATTCAATTTTTATATAGTAAAACACCTATTTTAAGTGTACAGGGTTTTGGAAAATCCGTACACCTGTGTAACCATCACCACCTGTGTAACCACCACCAACAGAACCAACAACATTTCTGTCACCCAAAAAGTTCCCTTTTGCCTTTTCCTAGTTAAGCCCAGTCCAGCCCCAGGTAACCACTTTCTATCCGTATAGATTAGTGTTGCTTGGTTTAGAGCCACATACAAATGGATTCGTTTAGTACGTATTCTTTTGTGTCTGATGTCTTTCACTGTGGCATGTTTCTAGACTCAACCCAGCTGTTTCGTGTTTCAGTAGTTCTTGCTGAATAGTGTTCCATTGTATAGATAAGCCGTCATTTGTTTATTCATCCACGTATTAATGGGTTTCCAGTCTCTGCTCTTAAAACTATGAGCATTTGTGTAAAAGTATGTATTTGCACATGTGTTTTTATTTTGCTTGGGTAAGTACTTAGGACTTTAATTGCTGTGTTGTAAGTGTCTTAGTCCATTCAGGCTGCCATAACAAAATGCCACAAACTGGGAGGCTTGTAAACAACAGAAATTTATGTCTTACAGTTCTGGAGGCTGGGAAGTCCAAGATGAGAGTGTCAACATTTGATGTTTAGTGAGGGCCTACTTCCTTTTAAGTAGATGTCTTCTCACTGTGACGGTACGTGGTGGAAAGGGACTAGAAAACCTACCCCATTCATGAGGGCTCGCCCCTTGTGATTCTGTCCCCTCCCTGAGACCCCACCTCATATCATCGTATGGGTTAGGAATTTGACATGAATTGTGCAAGGATGTAAACATTCAGTCCATTGCAATAAGTGTTTTTAACTTCCTAAGAAATTGTCACACAGGTTTCCGCAGTGGTTGGATCATTTTACACTACTACTACATTATAGGAAGATTTCCAGTTGCTCCATATCTTTGCTAACACTTGGCGTTGTCAGTCTCTTCAAATTTAATCAACTCTAGTCTCCTTATGATTTTAATTTGTATTTGCCCACTGAATGATGTTGTATGTCTGTGATTTCATCTGCTTATTGCTTTTCTGTGTCGTCTTTAGTGATGTGTCTGTTCATACCTTTTGCCTATTTTTAAGTTGGGATGCTTATTGTTGACTCAAGTTCTTTCCATATTCTAGATGAAAAACATATGTAATATATATAATTATTTGTCTCCATTTGTGATGAATATATATTGTGAATATTTTCATGTTTGGTTTGCCTGTTCATTTTCTTAATGGCGTCTTTTGAATATTTTTTAAGTCTAATTTATCAAATATTTGGGTGCGGTGGCTCATGTCTGTAATCCCAGCACTTTGGGAGGCCAAGGTGGGCAGATCACCTGAGGCCAGAAGTTTGAGACCAGCCTGGCCAACATGGTAAAACCCTGTCTCTACTGAAAATACAAAAATCACTTGGGCGCAGTGGCGCACCCCTGTAGTCCCAGCTACTCAGGAGGCTGAGGCAGGAGAATCACTTGAACCCAGGAGGCAGAGGTTGCAGTGAGCCAAGATGACGATTTATGAGATTTTATAATTGAGTTTAAGAAATTTGCCTACTCAAAGGACATGATTTTTTTCCTATGTTTTTTATTTTATGGAGCTTTTACAGTTTTTACATTTAAGTCTGTGATCTCTTTTGAGTTCATTTTTGTGTACCATATGCGATGAGGATCAAGATTCACTTTGGATCTGTGTGGATAGTTGTTTCGGTTCTGTTTGTTGAGTCTACTTTCCCAATGACCAAGTCTTCACAGGTTGGTAAAAACTTAACTGACATAGAAGTGGTCTGTTCTGGACACCGTTCTTCTTGTGTGTGTAGCTTTACACCAATATGACACTATATTGATTACTGTAGTTTTATTTGAGGCAGAATCTCATTCTGTTGCCCAGACTGGAGTGTAGTGGCACAGTCTTAGCTAATGTAACCTCGAGCATCTGGGCTCAAGTGAGCCTCTTGCCTTAGCCTCCCAAGTAGTTGAGACTGTAGGCATGCATCACCACGTCTTGCTAATTTTTTATATTTTTTTGTAGAGATGGGGTCTCACTATGTTGACCAGGCTGGTCTTGAACTCCTGGCCTCGAGATCCTCCTGCCTCAGCCTCCCAAAGGGATTACAGGTGTGAGCCACCACTCCTGGCCAATTGTAGTTTTATAATAAGTGTTGAACTCAGGTATTGGAAGAGCTTCCGTTTTGTTCTTTTCCCATTTGTTTTTTGTTTTTTGTTTTGACTTCTAGATCTTTTGCATTTTCATATAAAATTTGGAGTCAACTTTTATCAACTTCAGGCTGGTCCGATGGCTCATGCCTGTGTAATCCTAGCACTTTGGGAGACCAAGGCAGGCGGATCACTTGAGGTCAGGAGTTCAAAACTAGCCTGGCCAACATGGTGAAACCCCGTCTCTACTAAAAATACAAAAAAATTAGCTGGGTGTGGTTTTGGGCACCTGTAGAATCCCAGCTACTTGGGAGGCTACGGCAAGATAATTGTTGAACCTGGAAGGCGGAGGTTTCGGTGAGAGCTGAGATTGCGGCATTGCACTGCAGCCTGGGCAACCAAGAGCGAAATTCTGTCTCAAAAAACAACTTTTATCAGTGTTTACAAAAAGAAAGTCTTCTGGGATTTATAGTTCAATTTAGGGAGAAATGACATTTTAACAATTCTGAGTTTTCCAATTGTTGAACATGGTGTACTGTCCCATTTATTTAGATCTCTGGATTTCTCTCAGTTTGCAGCTCTCACACATTTTGTTAAATTCATGTATTTAATATTTCTGCATGCTATCGCAAGTGAGAAGGTTTTTTAAAAGCTATTTTCTAGTTGTTATTGCTGGTATATAGAAATGCATTAGACTTGTACATTGATCTTGTATCAAGCAACCTAGATCAGTGAACTTATTAGTTCTAGTAGCTTTTTTCTAGATTCTTTAGCATTTTCTATGTAGATAATCATGTCATCTGTGAATAAAGTATTTTACTTTTCCAATTTATATGGACTTTGTTCCTTTTTCTTATTGTACTGACTAGGGTACCTGGTTCTGTTTTCCTTAGAATTGGTAAGAGTGTGTCCTTGTTTTCATATCAGGATACTGTTACTCTCAAAGAATTGTGAATTATTCTATCTTCATCTGTTTTCTGAAGTTGTTTATGTAATATTGATACTAGTATTTCTTCCTTAAGTGTTTTCTTCCTTCCCTCCTTCCCTCGCTCGCTCTCTTCTTTTTTTTTCTTTTCTTTCCTTCCTTTTTTTTTTCTGAGATCCAGTCTCTGTCACCGAGGCTGGAATGCAGTGACGTGGTCTTGGCACACTGCAACCTCTGTCTTCCAGGTTTAAGTGGTTCTCCCACCTCAGCATCCCGAGTAGCTGGAACTGCAGATGCTTGCCACCGTGGCCGGGTGTTTGTATTTTTAGTAGAGACAGGGTTTCACCATGTTGCACAGGCTGATCTTGAACTCCTGGCCTGGTGATTGGCCCACCTTGGCCTCCCAAAGTGTTGAGATTACAGGAGTGAGCCACTGTGCCCAGCCATAAATTCAATTTTTTTGAACAGCTATCACACTTAAGGTTTTTCTATTTCTTCTTGTGCCAAGTTTGGTAACTTTTATCTCTCAAAGAATTATTCATTTCATGCAAAACAGTGAATTATTGGCATAAAATTCAAAACATTCCATTCCATTTTATTGCATTTTATTTGACATTCTATTTTAATTACATTTAAAAGGATGTCTTCTGGCTGGGCGTAGTGGCTTACTCTGTCGCCCGAGCTGGAGTGCAGTGGTGTGATCTCGGCTCACTGCAACCTCTGCTTCCCGGGTTCAAGCGATTTTCCTGCCTCAGCCTCCTGAGTAGCTGGGAATACAGGCTCCTACCACTTTGCCCAGCTAATTTTTTGTATTTTTAGTAGAGATGGGGTTTCACCATGTTGGCCAGGCTGGTCTCAAACCCTTGACCTCGTGATTCGCCCATGTCGGCCTCCCAAAGTGTTGGGATTACAGGCGTGAGCCACTGCGCCCGGCCAAAGTAGATTAATTCATTTATGAGAGCTTCACCCTCATGATCCAATCACCTCTTAGACTCCAGCTCTCAGTACTGCCATATTGGGGATGAAATTTCTACATGAGTTTTGGAAGGGCAGATACTCAACATAGCTTTCTGTCTAAGACTCATGTCCTTCTCACAAACAGATTTGTTGCAATCCCGTAGTCCTCAGATTTTATTCCAGCACTGAATTAAAAGTCCAGAGTCCAGAGTCTCATCTGTGAGCCTGTGAAATCGAACAAGTTATGTCCTTCCGAGATACAATGATGTACAGGCAAAAGACAGATATTCCGACTCCATCAGGGAGGGGTAAGCAGTGAGAAAGGGTTAGCAGGTCCCAAGCAAGTCTGAAACCCTGCAGGGAAGGCATTAAATGCTGAAGCTGGAGAATCATCTCTCTTGACTCCATGTGCCACTTCCTGGACACACCAGGGTGAGGTTGGGTCCCCAAGGCCTCAGGCAACCCCACTCGATGGCTTTGCTCTACCCCCATGGGTTAGTCTCTGGTGCCTGAAACTTTTCCAGGCAAGCGTGCGTGCTGCCAGTGACTCCACGGTTCTTGGTTCCCAGTGGTGGTCCCACTCCCATGCCTCGCTAGACATTACCCTGGTGGGGACTTCCCAGCAGCTCCAGCTCCTCATTTCCACTCAGCATTGCTTTAGTGGGGATTCTCTGTAGTGGCTCCACCCCTGCCACAAGTCTCTGCCTGGGCCCCTAGGCTTTCAGTGGTATCCTGTGAAATCTGGATGGAGGCTGTCAAGCCTTCGCAACTCTGACTTTCTGTAAGTCAGCAGAATTAGCACCACATGGATGCCACCAGGGTTTAGGGCTTGTGCCTTCTGGAGTGAGGCATTCACATCTGGGGCTGCTTGAACAATGGCTGGGTGACCACGGAGCACTACGCTGTGGTGCCCGGAGCAGAGTCCTAAGGTGGCCCTGGGCGAGCCTGTGGAGGGCTCCCAGGGTCTGTCCCCTGAAAGCATTCTGCCTTCCTAGGCCTCTGAGCCTCTGATGGGAGAGGCAGCCTCGATAACCTGAAATGCCTGCTGGGTCTTAGTTTCATTGTCATGGGAGAATTGCACCTGGCTCCCTTCTATCCAAGCTAATTTCTTTGACAAACTTCACTGGGCTATACCCTTAGTTTCCTCTCCTGAACACACTTTTACTCTACATGGCCAGCCTGAGTTTTCCAAATCTTTCCACTCTGCTTTTAAATTATAAATTCTATTTTTAAACTATTCCTTTGCTCTCCAAGCTCAGCATAAGAGGCCAAAAGTAACCAGCAGCTCCTTTTTCTGTTGTTTGTTTTTTGGTTTTTGGTTTTGTTAAGATGAAGTTTTGCTGTTGTCACCCAGGCTGGAGTGCAGTGGCGGGATTTCAGCTCACCGCAACCTCTGCCTCCTGGGTTCAAGCGATTCTCCTGCCTCAGCCTCCCGAGTAGCTGGGATTACAGGCACGCTCCACCACGCCCAGCTAATTTTCTATTTTTAGTAGAGATGGGGTTTCTCCATGTTGGCCAGGCTGGTGTCAAACTCCAGACCTCAGGTGATCCGCCGGCCTCGGCCTCCCAAAGTGTTGG